CTTATACATTTAAATGCCTTTGTGAAATGATTTGAAGAAGGTCTTAGCTAAATGAAAGCAGATTTTTCTAATTAACCCACAAATGCTAGTATTTAAACTCCAAAATGTCCTCCTCTTACAATGGATATTATACTTACACTGTAGGAGAATACTTACCACACCAAACTGTTGCTGAGAAAATTAAGTGTAAATAGTTCAAAGAGGAACTTCTAAAGATAAGGAAACTGATCTTTTCCTTTATCTTCTTCTATTTACTGGTACATGTCAATAGAATTTCTTAATTTCTAAGCAGAGCCTTTGCCCTTTGTGCGAGAAAAAACTTTTCTGTGTAAAAAGGAAAGACAGGTTTTAACTCAAACACGGCATTTCTAAACATGGGATAGTACATGCAGTATGTGTCATTTGAAATCTTTAATTTTTAACTAGTTTCATGTAGATTGAAACCATTGCTGAGCAAATCCATCCATAACCAAAAAACATTTTAAATGAGGGTCAAGATTAGAACAAAAAAATCCTGTTACTGAATGTTTAGTTTGTTACATTTGTGTTTTGATTTCTATGGAAAAATCTATGTTAAGAATATGTAGTGTGTTCAATCTGTTCCCATAACATTTCATTCCTTTGCACTAAGTGTGGCAAAGGTTTCCCTTAGTCAGTGCTCTAGAGCTTTGTTGTTGTAGAGTTATTCCCTTAGCAAACCAAGAGCTAACTTTTTACAAAAGAATCAGCTGTCCTTGTGGGATGGATTTTCAGAAACCAAGGTTAGGAGAATACACAGCCCCTTTGAGCTTGTGTTTATACCAGTATCTGCCTGAGGCTTTGCACTGTGCACATACCTGACAATTAACTTCTTATGACCTCTTTATCAACTTGCTGAGGTCATATTCCATGGTGATGGAACCTTTAGAATAAAGGGGGTAAGTTTCTATAGAAACCGTGGTGCTATGTTGGTGAGAGAGATTATACCAGGGTAATTTAGTATTATCAACTGAATTGATAGGGTAAATTTGCCACTGTAAAGAGTTTAACAGTTGATGTTTTGAGCCTTAGCCCTTTATCAGAGTGATTGAGAGTTACCTTGGAAGTCTACTTAGTGACATCACTGACCTGTACCTAGTTTTAAGCATAGTCTCAAAACTTACCTTTTGAGCCAAGCTTTTAGTTTGTTGCCTCCAGTAATGAAGTGTTTTTATCTTCTTAAGGGAATTAGGTTTTCTTATCTCTATGTAACTTTATAGTGATTTTAGTTAGCTGCCATTATCATTAAAAAATTTTTTATTTTCTGCAAAGGGTATTGGATCATTCATATCTGTGCGCCATATAAATTCTAATTATGCTCATTATGTAATAATGTCCATTGCTAAAATATTCTCACTGCCCATGTCTGGAATTTTAAAGCATGACACCTACATTCTTCTAAAAATAATTGTTTAATGCCTTCTGAGCTTGGTATTTTCAGTGTTTTACTTAGCTCTTTAACTCCCATGGGTGACAAGACAATATCAATTAAACAAAAAAGTGATGAGAATAAAGAAAAGTATCATTTAGGGGATTATTTGATCCAATAACAAATTCTTTCAACTAGCATCATAAGAATGGTATGGCAGACAGTAAGGAGAATTATTATTTGGAGTTAAAGGGTTGAAGGGAAAGATTGCAGTATACACAATGTGAATAAACACTGATTGAAATATATTAGGGAGATAAGTTTTAGTTATGACATGCATTTTAACAGTAATGCTCTTCCAGGGAATATTATTAAGTGTTTTTCACTCAGCATCTTAGACTAATACATGCTGGTATGGTGTGTTTAGCAAGAGAGAAATTTTGATGCAGCATGTACTTTGTACTCAGTCTGCAGTCTCAATTTTGGTCTTAACAAATCATCAATTGATTTTTATGGAATTTAAAATTTTCAAGCACTCATAATTTTTTTAATGTTAATTTTGTGGAAAATTTACAAATGATCCACTTTCATTGCTCCTTTGATCAAAAGTCAAGGTGTTTATTAGATTTTCAGCATTTGCATTGCAGCATTTACTCAAGGTTGCCATAAGCTGTAAGGTGACATTTATTTCAAAATCATGTTTCTCAATTCACTTAATAACAGTAACTCTGTATTGACAATATCAACAACAGCTAGGTGATAACAATTGAAAAACTTGTGACCTTGAGGGTATCATTTTGATATACTGTAATTATTCAGCTATAAGCCAAGTTATTTTCACTCAAAGTAAAGCTTCAGTTTTTTTATGCATGTGTTTTATGCAGGGGAACCTTTGTTAACTTTCATCTTTTCATTGCATAGCTTTTTTACAAATTTCATTTGAGAGAAAAGCAGATTTTAGTGTAAATTTATGCAAAATTGTTGGGTCTTTGTTATACATGTACATAAAGTCCAAGAATAGGTCTTGACTTATTCACATTGGTTCACCCTTTAATTCCCAAAAGTGACGAATGTGTAATTTCTCCTTATAATGTTCATACATTATCCAGCAAACAGGTGATGAGAATGCTTCTCAATTAGAATTTGTTATCTTGATTTAACACCAAATTCTTGTTACTAATTTATAAGGAAATAAGTAGCAGCTAGAAGAGAGAATTAACAGCCATATCTTGGAATTTAAAGGGTTGAGTTAATTTTACACATTGGAAGTTTGGGGTCAGTTGGCTTATAGCAAGGATATTGGTTACAGCCAAATACATTGTAAATGTGGTAACTCCAGATTCTCTGAGGTAATTGACATGGAATGATGTACATTTAACAGTTGGAGTGGCTCATAAAAAATCAAATGTTTGGAGAGGATGGCAAAAGGTTTATATGTACAGTAAACTCGTGATTAATGTCAAAATTAATTTGTGACATGTGAATTTTAAAGAAAGGCTAGCTCAATTTGTGAATTTATGAAGCATTTTGAAGCCTGATTTGCCTCCTATTATGAAACCAGCTTATTTTTTCTATCATTTTGTGAAAACCTAAAGATTTCCCTGCCTGGAACCTTGCACTTAAAAAGAGTGATATGAAATTTCCCTTTTAAATTTTTGATGCATGAAATGCTGTTTAAAGTATTGGTGAAACATGAATTTTTCTAAAATCAGTGTTTGAAATGGGATTGGGAACACCCTTTGCTTAAACTCAGCTCTTTGGAGTTATTGAGAAAGGGGTGGTGAAGTGTAGCAAAAAAGTCTTTGGTGTTTGGAAAGGGCAATTCAGTCCCAGAATATCTGAGTTCTTGATAGGAGAAATCTTTTTTGTGTTCCCTTTTTGTTTCTGATTTTGATATAAATATTGTCCTTTAGATGTAAAATGGTGACCTTTGAGTCTTTTTCTGCACAGTTTCTAAACCAGAACCTCGATCATTGGGAAGGGACTGCAGTTGTTAATGGAGAGTTCAAATATTTGAAGATGACTGATTCTAGAGGTAAGTTTTTTTTCTGTGAGCTCATAGATACAGCTGTAACTTGGAAAACTGAGAGCCATATGTGAAGTCCAATCACAGGTTTGTAAAGATCTTGTATGTGGCTACTGGTAATTCTGCCAGGAGCAGTTTGAAACTGTAATGCTTATAAATATTTTCCTTTTTGTATGTGCTATTATATAAACAGAGGCCTCTGCCTGGGCTTGAATGAACACATATTTGTCAGTGCATGGGCATTGCCTGTTTGGAGATGCACGAGGCAGATTCAGTCAAGTGACCTGTTGTGACCAAATACATCTAATGAAACATTGGTTAAAAATATTATTATCTCTTTCAAAAACCTTCCCCTTGCTCAATTTTTGGCATGTTTCTGTGATGTTTCTCATTATCTGTTAATGATTTGTCTTCTTCTTCCAGTTTTTTCTACAGATTTTTGATAAACCTTCCCCTTGCTCAAATTCTGGCATGTTCACTTGATGTTTTTGGTCATCTGTTGATGATTTGTCTTTTCTTTCCAGTTTATTCTAATTTGTGTTATATTTATTACTTTTTCCTACACAGGAAAATATCTGGTGTTCTTTTTCTATCCCCTTGACTTGTGAGTATTAGATGTTAGAATACTCTTTGACTAAAAGTTTGCTGTACTTTGCTACCTTCATGCTATCCTGCCAAATTAGTCATCTCTCTGCAATTGCTACCGAGTAGTCAACATTGTTCTCAAGGTGACTGATATTAAAAGTTTCATTAATTGCATGCATATTATTTTAAATTGAATCATTACAAATAACACCTATTTGTTGTCATTTGCAGCACTTTTGTTTGTCCAACGGAGATCATTGCCTTTAGTGACAGAATTGAAGAGTTCAGGGCAATCAACACTGAAGTTGTTGGTTGTTCAGTAGATTCAGTTTTTACCCATTTAGCTTGGTATGTTAACCCTTTACACCCTAACATCAGTATGTATATTCTCCATTACTACTCTCTAGACATTTCCAAGGGTTCTGACAAGGAGAATTTGTTCAACAATCAAGAGTTTCTTTAGTTGGTGATCATCTCCTTTATTCTCATGACCTAAATGTTTGATTTAGGGTGATGTTGTAAGGAGAAATTAGATGTTAGTCACTCTCAGGGGTTTAAGGGTCAATCCTAAATTTTAACTGAATTTGTAACTTTAAAGGATTTGAGAGTTTTAAAAAACAGAGAAAGGTATTTCCAATTTATATTGAAGATTTGTAGAATGCCAGAAATTAAAGTAAAAAGGAAAAATTTCCATTTTTGGTAAAAAAAAAATCTGCCATAAAATGCATTCCAGTTTTAAGTTACATTCATTCTACATGTTTGTGTAAAGTGTTAGATTATTACAATGTAGTCATCCAGGAGAGAACTTTTGAATGATTCCATGGGTAATCACAAAGATATATATTGCTACAGCAGTGTTCACCCTTATTTTAAGCATGATTGGTAATTTAAGGAATTCTCAAAACAGCTAGTAGAGCAATCCTTGTACCTGTTGAATTGTTAAGAATTCCCAGAGGTACCAGAGGCAATAAATAAGTTCCTATATTCCTTTCAATTCTAGGATAAACACTCCAAGGAAAGAGGGTGGTCTGGGAAGGCTTAAATATCCTCTGTTATCTGACTTAAACCACCAAATTGCTAAAGATTATGGAGTACTGCTTGAGAATGAAGGTCACACCTTAAGGTGAGGATATCTGTGTTTTGTATTTCCTCATGTTTCTGACTTTTTGTGTCTGTAGGCCATTCTATTTAAACATGTGTTTAGTGTTTATCAGCTGTGATCCTCTTGGAATAATAAACATTATTCAACAAAGTGGAGGTGAAATAGCTGGGGATATTAACCGAGCTGCAAAGCAGCTAGGTAAATATCTACCACTTTCACCTACAGTGAGGTAAATAATTATATTAGCATGTACACTGTATATACCACACAGAAATAAAAAAAATCAGTACATTTCTCACAATATACAAAGAAATGGTTGGAAATTAAATTTTTGATGCATGATTCTGTTGCCTTGGCTGCTCAAAGGGGAAGAGTACCGGTACTTGTTAATCACTTTCAAGCCAGCCAATCAGAGCACACAAAAAGCACTATTCATCTGTGTGGTATGTACCAAAAAAACTTATTTGATGTAATGATGATAATGATTATGACAATGATAATGATAATGATGATCATTTAATAGACCATATCTACTTGAACAAAGTATTTCATTATCTGCAATCTACCTATTCTTGATTTCTAAAAGCTGAACATTTCTTTGTTAGTGCTCCTACCCTGGATCAAGATATCCAGTTTTGAGCACCTGACTGGCATTATCTTGTTGCATTGTTGGCTGTCACACCACATAGTTAAGAAAAACGTAACTCATATACTGAAGAGTCTCTCTTGGTCGGATGGTTTTTCCCCTTAATATTACTACTTTTGAGGGGGAGCTGGAGGGAGGGGGGGGGAGTTATGTCCCTGTAATGGACATAACATCTATGGATTAAAAACACTCTCAGATCAGGTCTGATCAGGTTGCTGTACTTTGCTTCCTTCATGCTATATAACAGGTCTGATAGTTAGGCAGGGGAGATTTGGTTAAGGTGAGAATATTCTTACTTTTATGACCACTTTTATTACATGCCTGTTGTTCTATTTCAGGGGTCTATTTATAATAGATGACAAAGGAACTCTCCGACAGATCACAATGAATGACCTACCGGTATGTTGTAACTGTACATGTATGACTGTAATTGTACCGTGAATTTCTACTGCGAGTTTTATGTAGCTGTTTGCTTCTACAGTTAATTGTTCTTGATACGCTGAGAAAATTTATCTGTCCATTCATATAATTTGATTCGAGTCTGGCCCTCGTCCACTGTCACGTGGTAAAAATCTCAAGCTCATTGTTTAAGTGTTAAGCAGTGGGGATCCCTTTCCTTTTATTTCGTGACGTTTTTATTATTTCATTTGAAAAATATTGATATTCGATTTTGATTTGGACAAGGGAGAAAAAAAGCTGAGTAGATAGTATCAAGAAAAAAGGCTCCTGGTGTCCAGTCTCCTGATTTTTTTGCGGTTCGCGGTCTTTGGCTTTATAAAGTGTGAAGTACTATTTATAACTTAACTACTCAAAGAAGTTAATCTGAACTGGTTATTTCGCAGGTGGGCCGATCAGTCGACGAGACTTTACGTTTAGTCCAGGCTTTCCAATATACTGACAAACACGGGGAAGTTTGTCCGGCCGGTTGGAAGCCTGGTAAAGAGACGATCATACCTGATCCAACAGAAAAGAAGAAGTACTTTGCAAAACAGACTGAAGGAGAAGATGAGGAAGAGAAGAAATGAACTGAACAAACTTTGGAATTGAAAAAAAAACTGAGAGTTGTCTTAATTTAGGTGGCTTTGTTTTACTTTGCATCCAGAAAAGTTACCAACGATTTGTAAGAAAACTTTTGGCGAGAATCGAGAAACAAATCTAACTTAAAGATAGATCTTTGTAGTAGTCTCTTTAGTTGTTTTGTAGTGGCCTTAAAGGCCTGCGCTTTTCTGTGCGCGTAGGATTGGGGTGGAGTAATGGTGAGGTGATTCCCTTGTTTTGTTCCTCCTATGAGTATGGCTGTAGTGAATTATTAGACTTCTTGCTATTTAAAAATCACCTCACATACTCTGATCAGTTACTCCACGAGTTCACTCTGAAACCAATTCTTCAACCCGCTCTCTTGCTATACATTTCCTACGGTGCTGACAACGAGGATTTTGGCGGTCATTCCCCTAATTCTCATGACCTTAATACTTAGCTCGGCTTGATACTGTAGGGAGACATTACATGATAGTAGCACTGAGGGGTTAAAGAGTTGAAATGTTTCCCTAAGTCTAGGTGAGCAAGTCAATAGAACAAATAGTCCATTTTACAGTTGTGTGCTTGGTTGCCAAGCCTTTGAACAGGAATGAGGCTAAGGGTGACCTTGTTATGATACAAACCTTGCTGCTTTTCAAATGCAAATTACTTTGTTATCATGCTAACTAGATACTAGTCTCTATCATAACAAGGTCACCTTCAGCCTCACTCCAAATCAGAGGCTTGGCAACTAAGTACACAACTGCAAAATGGCCTATTGTCAGTAAACAATTTTCAGTTTTGGATCGAAAAGCAGTTGCTGTACAGGAAATGAGCCCGCCCCCCTACCCTGAAATTTCGATAACCGTCGGAAATCTAGCCCCGCGCATTTGGTGTGAAACATGTGAACCAGTGGTGAGCAATAATACTTGGCTGCATTTTAAAAGCACAGTCTTGGTCTCTAGCGGAATGTATCCTCTTTAACAGGGTGGTAGGAAAAACATGGATATTTCGTTTTAGACTTAATGACCTTTGAAGCTGACCGTCTTTTCACTCGAACCAGCTTCCCTTGTCCAAGTGAATTAGACGCGAGGTGTGGGTCTTATCCGTGTAATTCAACAGCTGTTTAATTAATTTGGCAAAAGGAAAAGTTTAGACAGAGTGAAGGGGTGTAACAGAATATGAATTTCATGGTGTTCTAGTTTTTGTGTTTCGGAGGTTCTTTTTACACTAAATTTGCAATATCAGGCAGAAGAGTGATAATCTAAAAACATCGCCTGCTTTTTCACCAAATTTTCCGAGCGAAAATTGCGTGAAATATACAAAAACAGTAAGAACTGAAATGAAGATCTGAAATGGATTTTGATTGGATTATGTATCAAGTAATTACCAATGGACTCTGTGTTTTCCATAGTTCATGATTTATGCCTGCTCTAGTTTTTATGGATAGTATATTACTTCCAAGCTGGCAAAGGCTTTAAGATTAAAAAATTAAGCTATCAATCCAATGGGTCAAAATGTATCAAATGCATGTCCAAATGCATGTAAAAAAAGCAGTCATATGTACAACCTACAACAAGTTAGAAATTCAAAGGTAAGATATGCCAAAACACCAAAGGTTAAACTTTCGTATTAAACTTATGATTTAGAAAACATCGCTGTATAATCCTTACGAAGACCATGTGAAATTAATTAAAAGGTTTTCTCAGCATAACTTGTCTTAAACATGGCCGCAACACTACTCAATCTCCGCAAAAAATCTCTTTTTAAAAGTAAACCATCTGACTTTTATCAGTTTAAATCCACAAAGCTGAATTTAAAAGAAGTCAAAAAGAGTTTCAAATTGTACTTAAAAGTTATTAAATGATATGGTAACAAATCACTTATTTGATTATAGCCTCAATGCAGGTTATTTCATGATTCCACTGGTTCAATTCAACGCCGCGTGACATTAAATTTGTATCGCGTGCCTCTGTTGGTTTTGATTGGCATTAGTCAGTACCAAACGCCTGGGCTCTACTCTTGTCTGCATACAGATCCATCAGTGATGACCTACAAGAAAAGTATAAGAGCCGCAAATTAAATATTTTTCTTGAATTCATCGAGAAATAGATTTAAGTGCCCTGCTTTATTACAAAAGAAAAACTGCGAGTCTCGGCATCAACAACAGGCAGTGCAATAACTCAACGAGAAACTTATTTCTCTGTTTTGTGTTATCCTTGTGCACCCTCTACCTCGGCTGCAGGAACGTAATGAAGATAAAAGACATGAAGACATAAAGGGTTATTGGAAACACAACTAAATATTCATGAAAAAGTTCCATAAGGAACGAAGAGGCGATAATTAACATCTCACTCTTCGTTGATTGAGCAAAATTAAAGGCGCACTTACTTTGGATACCTTTTAAATTTCCGTTAATTCCAGTTTCACGTCGTCCCCAATGAGTACAAATGGCGCCCAGTAATTCCCTTTACTGAACATTTCAGACTCTCTCATGCACTTCATGGCTTGATTGACAGCTTCACTGGTACCCTTGCCTTCTTCCAGTGCTCCGTAGAAATGTTTCATGAACTCCTGAGTACCATCGTCATCAATGGCCCACAGGGATACCAGAACCGATCGAGCACCGGCACCTAAGAACGCTCGCGCAATGCCAACCACACCTTCGGCCATAACCTCACCGCAAGCGCTGTGACAGCAACTTAGCACAACCAGTTTCGCTCGCAGCCCGGCTCGTAACACGTCTCTCATTGTCAGTAGATAGTCTTCCTCTTCAGCTTGACAGGTTGTCCTACTCGTGTTTGGTGCCAAGAGAATCTCTCCTGTTTCTTTTTTACCATGCGCTGCAATGTGAACCAACGCAACTGAGGAAATTTGTCCTAATACCTCTTCCTTTGTCGCCTCCCCTCCAACGAGAGGAGCAATACCGAGGATTCCTCCAATCATCTTCACCTCTTTCCTTGCACCCGGCAGCTGATTCAACAAATTACCCTGATAAAGGACTTGCTTGTAACATGGATCACCCACGAGCAGTGCACCGGTTTTATTGTGCAATTCTGTCGGGCAGTCTGAGATTGATTTTAAAATGGTTAGGGATGGAATTACTCGAATCCTGAAAGATTCGCACAGATACCTTGAATTCGAATCCACCAATGCTGCATAGGGCACCAAGCAAAGTGGACCTTCAGGAACAAATACAAGCTCATCTCCATCAATCAGATCTGCGATAGGAGCAACTATGATATCATAAAGCTTCCGCAGGGCATTTGTCGTCGCGTTTCGCGGAGAACCATCGCTCGTTCCTTTTTCATCTCGGCCCACTTGAGTTGAACTTTTTTCCCATTCAACAGCAGCCCTTGCACTAACTTGCAAGGAAGCAGCCTTATTCAAAGAGGTAATGTAAACTTCTAATTCACGTTGGTAAAGAAAGTTGTTCACATGCTTTATTCTCGATTGAACGACTTCCCCGTTCCGAATAACCCACAAAGCAATGTAAGGTCCAGTAATTGCTAGAAAAACTGCATCTGATGAAATGTTTCTTAATGAAAGACAATCAGAGCATTTTCTAGAGTTCCACCGCGTGAGGGTTTGTCGAAAGTTGTACTTTAAATCCACGATATCTCCTAGAGTTTGTGCACGTCCCTCCTCGGCAGCAAGAAGAGCTTTGACATGTTCGCCCTTCAGTAAAAGTACGCGCCAAACACCATTGTATGCTGTTTTGTGAACATTTCGATACGAAATCTTCCAGTTATGGTTCAACAGAAAACTAGCCCGAACGTTATTAAAAATCTCTCTACTAGAAATATAATAGTCGAGGGCGGTTTGGAGACATTCATGCCTTTCAAAATTTGTAGCAAGACTACAAAGAGCCTGGGCAATCCCATCCTTGTCTCCCACTTCTTTAACAATTTCTAGACGACGTCTATGGTACTCGATGGCTGTTTTGAACTGTCCTAGACCATCATAAGCATTGCCAAGGTTGCCATAACTCGCTCCTTCTCCAGCCTTGTCTCCCACTTCTTTGGCAATTTCTAGATGTTGTTTATGGTAGTCGATGGCTGTTTTGAACTGTCCTAGACAATGATAAGCATTGCCAAGGTTGCCATAACTCCTTCCTTCTCCAGCCTTGTCTCCCACTTCTGGCTGTTTTGAACTGTCCTAGACAACGATAAGCACTGCCAAGGTTGCCATAACTCCTTCCTTCTCCAGCCTTGTCTCCCACTTCTTTGGCAATTTCTAGACAACGTTTATGGTAGTCGATGGCTGTTTTGAACTGTCCTAGACAATGATAAGCATTGCCAAGGTTGCCATAACTCGCTCCTTCTCCAGCCTTGTCTCCCACTTCTTTGGCAATTTCTAGACAACGTTTATGGTAGTCGATGGCTGTTTTGAACTGTCCTAGACAATGATAAGCATTGCCAAGGTTGCCATAACTCCTTCCTTCTCCAGCCTTGTCTCCCACTTCTTTGGCAATTTCTAGATGTTGTTTATGGTAGTCGATGGCTGTTTTGAACTGTCCTAGACAATGATAAGCATTGCCAAGGTTGCCATAACTCCCTCCTTCTCCAGCCTTGTCTCCCACTTCTTTGGCAATTTCTAGATGTTGTTTATGGTAGTCGATGGCTGTTTTGAACTGTCCTAGACAATGATAAGCATTGCCAAGGTTGCCATAACTTCCTCCTTCTCCAGCCTTGTCTCCCACTTCTTTGGCAATTTCTAGATGTTGTTTATGGTAGTCGATGGCTGTTTTGAACTGTCCTAGACAATGATAAGCATTGCCAAGGTTGCCATAACTCGCTCCTTCTCCAGCCTTGTCTCCCACTTCTTTGGCAATTTCTAGATGTTGTTTATGGTAGTCGATGGCTGTTTTGAACTGTCCTAGACAATGATAAGCATTGCCAAGGTTGCCATAACTCCTTCCTTCTCCAGCCTTGTCTCCCACTTCTTTGGCAATTTCTAGATGTTGTTTATGGTAGTCGATGGCTGTTTTGAACTGTCCTAGACAATGATAAGCACTGCCAAGGTTGCCATAACTCGCTCCTTCTCCTTGTCTCCCACTTCTTTGGCAATTTCTAGATGTTGTTTATGGTAGTCGATGGCTGTTTTGAACTGTCCTAGACAATGATAAGCATTGCCAAGGTTGCCATAACTCCTTCCTTCTCCAGCCTTGTCTCCCACTTCTTTGGCAATTTCTAGATGTTGTTTATGGTAGTCGATGGCTGTTTTGAACTGTCCTAGACAATGATAATCACTGCCAAGGTTGCCATAACTCCTTCCTTCTCCAGCCTTGTCTCCCACTTCTTTGGCAATTTCTAGATGTTGTTTATGGTAGTCGATGGCTGTTTTGAACTGTCCTAGACAACGATAAGCATTGCCAAGGTTGCCATAACTCGTTCCTTCTCCAGCCTTGTCTCCCACTTCTTTGGCAATTTCTAGATGTTGTTTATGGTAGTCGATGGCTGTTTTGAACTGTCCTAGACAATGATAATCACTGCCAAGGTTGCCATAACTCGCTCCTTCTCCAGCCTTGTCTCCCACTTCTTTGGCAATTTCTAGATGTTGTTTATGGTAGTCGATGGCTGTTTTGAACTGTCCTAGACAACGATAAGCATTGCCAAGGTTGCCATAACTCGCTCCTTCTCCAGCCTTGTCTCCCACTTCTTTGGCAATTTCTAGATGTTGTTTATGGTAGTCGATGGCTGTTTTGAACTGTCCTAGACAATGATAAGCATTGCCAAGGTTGCCATAACTCGCTCCTTCTCCAGCCTTGTCTCCCACTTCTTTGGCAATTTCTAGATGTTGTTTATGGTAGTCGATGGCTGTTTTGAACTGTCCTAGACAACGATAAGCACTGCCAAGGTTGCCATAACTCGCTCCTTCTCCAGCCTTGTCTCCCACTTCTTTGGCAATTTCTAGAAGACGTTTATGGTAGTCGATGGCTGTTTTGAACTGTCCTAGACCAAGATAAGCATTGCCAAGGTTGCCATAACTCCTTCCTTCTCCAGTCTTGTCTCCCAGATCTTTGGCAATTTCTACTTCCTGGTTTGATGTAATAAAATAAGTTTTTTGTTCATCGTGGTGTAAGATAAAAGATGAAATTAATTCCTTTGTTTCACGATAGAGTCACTTTGGATGTTGATCGCGACGATTCCACTGCAATGCTGCTAGTCTTCATTGCTCTGACGCTCTGAACGTCTGCCTTTTAACTCTGTACGGTGGCCAACTTACCCCTTAAGCCATTTGTAGCACGTTAGTCGGCTGCTATTGGTGCATTTCGATCCTCATTAGTATTCCGGTTGTTAGATGGTGTTCCCTCATAGGTCCTCTTTGATCGGCTATTGTGTTGTTTGATCGTGAGTATCCAAGCTTCGTGAATTTCGATTCCACTATCTCCACTGATGTTGTTGAGATGAAGTCTTATATGGATAGCCTCTTTAACCCTACGTGTGTACCAGTGGGGGCATTCACCCACCAACCTCAGTCAGTGAAGCGTGGTATTGTTAAGTGTCTATTCGACGATCAGACACCACAACAGCCGGTTAATGAGGACCTATGGGGGAACACCATCTAACAACCGGAATAATAATGAGGATCGAAATGCACCAATAGCAACGAAGCAACGCGCTACAAATAGCGACACGTAAACAAGCGACCTCACTGCCTAATGAAGACTAGCAGTATTGCAGTAGAAATGTCGCGATCAAACAAACGAATAAAGTTCATCTCCTTTCCTGGTTTGAGTTTCCCTTATGGTTTGGAAATGTGTCGCTAAGTTTTATTACGCACTTATTTAGACCCTAGGTTTTAGGTTCGAACGAGGTCTTTAAAAAAGGCCAGAGATAAGTATTTTCCCTATTAGACCTCTGTAATTGGGCCATGAGAACCACTCGCACAGAATTCCTCTGAATTCCTTCCTGGATGTGGATTTTCAACGAGGTTCTTAAGTTTGTGAAAGTGACTAGACTCCAAAGAAAATACAGAGACAGAGAGGTAGGCTTTTGTTCTAGCCATAAGAATTTTTCGATTTATAATCTTTAGAACGTACGTATATTTTAGAAGACTTCGGGATTTGGCTAACCCCGTTTTGATGATTTTATTTGAGTGAGTACTGGAAAAATATTGGCCCCTGCGGTCGTAACGATTAAGCAATATAATTTCGTGATTTTCGTTACTGGCCCCTCGACCAAGACCTGTGAACTCGAGATGCACGTTTTAACCTCTTTAGAGTTTCTGGTTGCCTAATCAGTTCTATTTAAAGAAAAATTCAGGTAATGGTTGTCAGATTTACCTTTACTTGCTGTGGCTTTATCTCGCCGGATGCGATTGTCTCACTACCACACTTGTTTAATAGATGACGCAACCTTTTACTATTATCGTCCATCTTCAATGCGTTAAGTCAAATGACACTGCTGAGAGGAAAGGTGGAATGCTTAGGGAGGGTGTTTCATCCAGTTTTTAGGAGAAAGTCTATTAGACACTGCAAGACTTCTACCTGCAGAGTGCCTTTTCGGCTTTTGAGAACTCGACGAAAGCACCTTTCTTACAAAATTGTCAATCTTGATAACTTTGCTTTGCAGTTCACACAGTAATTCGATTAAGTCGCACACTTGTCAGATTTTTTAATTGTTCAGCCTTTTAACTCTTTACGGTGGCCAATTTACGTTTCCAACTCAGTTGTTAACACTAAATTACCTGCTATACTCTCCCACCGACGCAGCACCACAGTTTCTTTGGAAACTTACCCCCTTTTTTCATTTCTAATTGTTCGCCTTGCCTAAAATATCGGTCCCTTACTTGTTACTCCATGCTCATTTACATTAATTTTAACGAAGTGAAACCGTATCCATTCACTTCAAGAAAAAAAAACAACGTTCGTAAAAGAGCAGCGTTCCAAAGACTACTGAGTAAAAAAAAATGTAATCTACAAGGTTGAATAATTAAGGATTATGTTATGTTTCGGTGGGACACAAGGAAAAGGGCAATCATGACTGACAAGAAGTTTCAAAGTCTTTTCAATTTAAGAGCAATTAAGGGACGAGTGGATTAGGGCTTTTATCGTCACACAGACTAAGAAAGACGATTAGATACAACCGTAATAGCCAGACAAAAAGGAAATGAATGTTGATGAAGGTTGGACCAAGCCGTTTAAGAAAGGAAGGAAAACAGCTGAGGAGGCTTTGGTTTTGGATAACATTCCTGAACAAATCATAAGATATTGCGATAAAACTGTGAAAACACAAGAATCATGATGACAAGGAGATTAAAAGATCCTAATTACTACGTTACCCAGTGTAACGCGTGTGCACGATCCAAAGGGAACCTTTTGATGTAGACGGGATAAGAGACCAGGAACGACAGAAGATCAAGAAATTAAAGAGCTGAGCAACAGCAACGAGGTGTATAGCCACGAAGAGGAGATCTACAGTGTCGAAATTGGCAAAAGGAGAAAAAGATTGCCTTTAATGGACCAGAGAGAGAGAGAGAGAGAGAGAGATCGAACAAAGCGTTCAAGTCGTGACTCTGCGTAGACACATTTTTCCTTCAAGCTCACTTGGTTTTTCACTGAGTGTGATGACCTTTTGAAACAGTTGGATTTATACATTTCATTTGTAATTGATATCATTATTTATTCAGCAGCATCGTTTTTATCTCAAAATGGGGGAGGATACAGTGACTGGATAGTTAACTTGCTCGCTGTCTCTTTCCGAGACCTGGTGCCGAGTTAAGAGGGCAGATAAGATGATATTGGAAACGCCCCCGAAATAGCTATGTTCTCGAGGAACTAAAAGATTTCAAAACAATGAAAGTGAGCAAGATGCAATTTAATACAACGCATTACAATTACTGGTCACCAGAGGGAGAGGCTTGATTCCGTTAGGAGAGAGAGAGAGGGGGAAGGACAGATAATAATGATAATAATGAGCTCGAAACGCTGACTGCCTCTTCCTCGTGTACATTTGTAAAATACTGGGGAATTTGAAACGTCCGCAGGGCAATTTGTTTGAATAACAAGTTCGAATCATTAACGCGTGAAAAACTGGACAAACATGAATCTTAGCGAGGCTGCTGATAAGATAGAATTTTCTTTCACATGTCAGATTCTCAACGGCGACAAGCAGTGTCTTTCGTCGCGTTGCCTTTTGGAAAAGACATTAACAGCTGTCAGTGTTTGGCATCATTAATAGCTGCATGGTACGATCATATCCATTCTATAGTAATATATCATCTTGGGAAAGTCTTTTACTATTTGTCGTTAGTTATTTCGGGTTATATCGTTTGCGTTGTTAGCAGGAAATGGTGTAAGAACTGGTTTTAATGGCATTAACATAAATCATACTCATATTTCACCGGGAAAAGTGACTGAAACTGACAGCTAGAGACCACCGAAAATTCAGCTTTTAAATCAAAATTGAAAAATTTGAAAATCATTGGACGTCTTAAATTTGCACTAGATTTTCTTAAGTTAAGCTTAAAGTGGTAATCACTGGAGTTTTTTTACGTCTTAGAAACGAATGTATTTTTCAAAGGATACGGCCAATCCTTTATGACACCAGATCTTTGCTTCATCATACAACTTAAGCTGCACACAAGCTTCAGCTCCTATAAAAATAAGGATTAGTGATAAATAGCTAAGTGCCTTCTTTGAGAAGCCAAAATATTGGCATTTTCAATTCACAAATGAAGATTTATGGTGCGTGACCGCGTAGATTTGAACCAGAAACATCTACTTCAACGTACGTAGCCAGGGAGCTATCGCCACTGAATGGCGACTAAAATTAAACTCACCTTTCTCCAAGGCTTTGATGAAAGTTGGCTCCAATTGTACAGCAACTGTGGCATCATCTAGGCTGTTTTCAAAGTTTTCTAAAGGAGGGATTTAGAGCTAACCGGTCATTTGCGTTCGATAGAATTGCAAAAAGAGTAACCGACTCCCTTTCAACAGGACTCTTTACAACTAATTCGAGGTTTTCTTTCACCTTGGAAAGACTTGGGCCCCCTCATATAACCTTCGATAACGCGGTTGCGGGAGGAGGGAGGGTTTGGTGGGGAGAATACATATGGGAAGTGCAGGTGATAACGGGATTAGTTTATTAATTTTCCCCTTTTTTACCATTAGGACCTAACACTTGAACTTGAACGCTCGACGTGAAATTAAAGAGGGTCGTGAGTGATATAAAGCTCTTCTCGGGGATTTCGGTTTATTATAGGTCACAAGATTTGGAGTCTTTATCTTGAGTAGCCGTTATATTACTGGATGTCCTTTAACTCATTTGGAGTGATAGATAAACGATCAGAAAAATTAGCATAAAATGGGACCACATGACTCTTTGAAGATGAACTTTTAAGTAAACTATAAATAATTGAACATTGAAATTCAATACCTAAACGGAAATGAGCTGCTGCCCTGTTATTGTAGAGTCTGGCTGTCAGCCGATTATCTTTGCAGTTTAGTTGAAGTCCTTCAGTGTACAGTTGTAGCGCTCTATGAAAATCTCCTTGTCTGTATTCTTTGTTACCTTGCTGAAAACAATCCTTTGCTCTCACTAAAAATACAGGAAACACCGGAATATTACTCGTTATGACCAATTACTTACAATACCCCGCATACCCAGTAAAGCAACGATCATGTCCAAAAATATATAAGCCCACTTACTCAGTATTCACGTCTTATATCCTTTAGGAAGAATATGGATTTTTATGATTTCGAGAACATTTTAAGCAAGCTCTTTCTTATGGATGGGCAGTTGTTCTTGATTGGAAGCGGATCAAGAAAAGCAAATAGAAAAGACAACAACAATGAATCAACTTCAACAAGAAACCCAAATATATTAGAATAAGGGGGGTAAGTTTCTATAGTAATTGTGGTGCTACGTCGGTGGGAGAGTATAGCAGGTAATTTAGTGTTAAAAACTGAGTTGAAAAAGTAAATTGGCCACCGTAAAGAGTTAAAAGGCTGATGTTTCGAGCGTTAGTCAGAACGACTGGAGGAATTGTGGGTTGTGTGTGGGTTTATTTGCAGAAAATGGAGCTACGCTATTGGTGGGAATATGGTGACGAGAAAACAAGAATAAATTAGTTAAGTGAAAAGCGCTCATTTATACCGTGGGGATTAAGGGTGCCGATTTGGAAGAAAATTTTTGTTCTAATGTTTTGCAGCATTCCGAACTGCCGAGATGTAGGGAAAGGCCGCAAACTGCCATGTGTTGTTTAGAATGATTAGGGAGATTTAAGTGTCTAGCGACTGGTTTGGATGCGTCCTTGTCATTTCTTTCTACGTCGCGAACGTATTCTCGGAATCGGTCACCTAGTCGTCTTCCTGTTTCACCAATATATAACTTATTGCAAAAAGTGAAAGTTATGCAATAAATGACATTGACGGAGGTACACGTAAAGTGATCAGTGATCTTAATGGATCTCTTGGGTCCCGATATTTTCTCTATGATCTTCCGGAAAGTATTATTCACTCTCATCGACAATTAATTCATGTACGAAGATTTACCTCTGTTCATTAGGTAAACGGCGGGGAAGTAATTTTAAGTAAATTCAATTTTTTTTATTTTAAAGTTGAGAGAGTTTGCTAGTTTGTTTACTGCAATGGCGTGTGTAAATCTGGTCTTTGCTCCATAAAAACAGAATTCGAATGATACACTCCAACGAGACACAAGGGGATTTAATGCAGCCTTTTCTCATTGAATTCCTTCAGTTTCTGTTGTCCAATTTACGGTACAAATGTCCAAATGTAACGGACTTGGAAAGACTCACCGAGAGCGTATATTTGTTGTAGAATTGAAATTAAAAATTCGCTCACCCTTTCACTACGAACAAATTGTTTGAGAAAATTCAGATATTAAATGAATGAAAGTTTCCTCGATTAGTTCAACTGTAACCAAATACCTCACGTTTTAACTTTCTGGGTACTTTTTGTGAACGATTAAAATTAATTGCAGGCGGTTTTTAGGCCGCTTGTCAACCAATGTAATGACACTATTGCTTATACAAATTAATTCTCAAACCGATATTTTTCTGTCAACCAAAGTGATTTGAGAGAGAGAAAAGAGAGGATTAATAAGTTATTTATCAGCTTGAGGTAGTGACCGAAGTCTTTGCTTCAAATACTGCTCAGCTGGAAAAACGAGATATATTTATAAAAAATGGCAACGAAAGTAGGGATGTACTCGGCGACTCACGAAAGCGTTACCGTTGCCCGTGGGAAGAGTTAGGAAAATACTGACCGGGTAAAGAACCAATCAGATTGCAGGATTCGTTACCATGCCCTCTTTTGCCATTCTAGCACGATGCTGTTCATAGCGTTCCATCACATGAGTATTTCAAGACACGTGCGTCACTTTTTCAATAGATCTTTTTTTTTAAGAAAGGCTAGTGCGACTATGTTTTCTCGCGCAGTAGAATGGTAATCAAAGTTACTCCCGGAAAAAGATTATCACTTCACTTCGTTCTATTAGACGGGAGATGGACAATTTGCACCAAATCAGTTCAAACTCTTGGTTCATCTTCAGCAACGTTCCGAAAGAGAAATTTCCAACTGAATGTAGAGAATAACCTTGGATTGCTCATAAACTCGCGCCTCTAACACAGTCAGTCAGATTTCACACTAGAACTAGGTAATTTAGTGTTATCAACTGAGTTGATAATGTAAATTGGCCACTGTAAAGAGTTTCAAAGCTGACTTTTGGAGCGTTTGCCCTTTGTCATTCTCTCTGACGAACTGGGCTAACGCTCGAAACGTCAGCTTTGAAACTTTTTTACGATGGCAAATTTACATTATGAACTCAGTTGATAAAGCCAAATGTTATCTTGTTATATTCCCCCACCGATGCAGCACCACAGTTTCTTTAGAAACTTACCCTCCATAAAAAATATAACAAGTTGAATTGCGGCTGGGTCGCTCTTGTTTTCCTGCGCGTCAGGTATGCGCAGTTTCCTTGTTTCCACTTAAATTTCTCATCGGCTCCTTGTAGTAATTCCTTTTCGTGACTTGCTGATTTAGTTTCGGTTTTACGACACTCAGTAATAAAGCGCTCTACTAGCTACGGTTGAATTGTTCCGAGTGTAAGAGGGACAGTGGATGACTACAGATTGTCCTACCTTACGTCTTGTGGAACACGTTAGTCTTCTCACTTACCTACTAAGGGGTCGTTGTCTAGGTCCACATCTTTATCATCTGAAGTTTTGTTCGCTGAAATTATAGCGAAGATATGTAAGATGTCTTTTGCGCGTGTCACAACTGAACCAATTTTCCATTTTAGTGACCCATGATGAAATGGAATATCTGTTTTTGCATCCCAATGGACAACCGTACCGATTTCTAATCTGTCAGAATCACTCTCTTTGTCATGGAAAAGGCTTTATGAAATTGAACGCGCGAAGGAATTTTTCGACGTCTTGCTTAACTAAAAATTCGTCGGTGGTTTTAAAAATGGAAACTAAATGGAAGCCCTTACTGAGCACGGATTTCTAGCTCTGAGTTGGATAGTGGAAGATTTTCTGGAATGGTGACGACAGATTTGAGGCTCTCAGGTGATGAGTGAGGACCGATAAGTTGGTCAAGTTTTTGGGCCTTAATTTGGTGAAATGGTTAAAAACACTGCCTTTGGTGACGATATTGCTTGGAATGAGAGAAAGAGGATGCATAAAAATTAGAGCGAAAACAAATGTTCTCTTAGGTTTTAACGCGTTTCGCCTTCGTCTTGGTGCCGAAAATATTGGTTTAAGAACGCCCACCAGTCTTTTGCAGAAAAATATGATCTGCAAATATTTTATTTAAAACGGTGCAGCATCTTTTAGACTCAGTAGCCTTAATTTTTTCTTTTAAAGAAATGACAGGGGAAAAACTTCACACTTTTGAGTTTGGTCACGTATGGTGTCTTCTATAATTTTCTTGCATACACTTTTTTTATATCGTGATAGATAAAAAGCCATTCCATCACTCACGATAACTGGGCTGTTAGACTGTCGAAATACCAAGATTACTCAGTTTGCTCATCATCGATTACAAATCTCGGTTCGAGTTGTAGTATCATATCGTTATAATCATAAAAAAATCTGATAAGGCCTCATTTTTCCCTCACCTGGGGAACCGTTGTCAGCAGCAGCCAGGTTTTCATCAGCTTCCATGTTGTCCTCTTTGCCAACTGAAATACCAATACATATTAATAATTAA